CACAACAGTTGCCTGTGGTTGATTGTTCAATAAACCCCTGAACTATATGTTTAACACATCTCTAACCCTGTCCATGGAGGACAGAAGAAAATGTATATATGCTGGTTAGCATTGTAAATTTGTGGGCACGTCTGTGGTAGAAAATAATAATAATAATATAACAGTTGCCTTGCTCCGGGGTACCTATTTACTATTAGGTGAACATACACATTGGGTGAAAAGAAACGTGCCCAACCATTTCTAAACCGGCTGAGATTCGAACTCGGGACTCCTGATTTCAAGTCGAGAAAGAACCCATGTACAACCGAGGATCAAACCAGAATCCCCCCCCCCCCTGGCCAAAATCCCTCTAGTTCTGGAAATATCAAAGATATATTTATTTCAGGCGAGGTTCTATTATACAAGATCTATTATAGAAATCTATTATACAAAAATCTATTATACAAATCTAGAAAAGAGCTTCGAAACCGGTTTAGCAATGAATAATACGGCCTTTTAAAACCTAAACATCATAATAATATTGGAAATGGGTATGTTTAGCATGTTTAGGAGTCAGAGACATTAGTTTGTGAGAGTCTTATGAGTCTTGGGAAGGTAGACACATCTAGATAAGTCTCACAGCTCTCCCAGCCCAGACAATGGTATTCCGTATTGGCATATTTTCAATTAATACAAAATATCATAGTTAGATGTGCGATTTAAGCATTCAGAGCATTTTCTCTAATGCTAAAGAAAACGGGAGAAACAGGAGTGAATGCAATGGTATTCATAGCTATCTTCATAATATATATATATATATATATATATATATATATATATATATATATATATATATATATATATATATATATATATATATATATATATAATGACTTCACCATTGAAATTTATCTCACTACACAGTCATAATTTTTTTTTTAACTTTACACATTAAACATCTGAGCATTCCACATATTGTGATCTTTCTACACCTGCACGACCACATATGACAGTCACCACGTAAGCATCTAGTGTGGTGTACCAGAGGCTACATATCTCTGTACTAGATATTTGATATCTGTTTCAGTTGTGTAGATATTCAGTTGGGTAGCTTATCAGTTGTGTAGGGTGCTAGTTGTGTAGGTTATCAGTTGTCTAGGGTGCCAGTTGTGTAGCTTATCAGTTGTGAAGGGTGCCAGTTGTGTAGCTTATCAAGTGTGTAGGGTGCCAGTGGTGTAGGGTGCCAGTTGTGTAGGGTGCCAGTTGTGCAGGGTGCCAGTTGTGTAGGCTGCCAGTTGTGTAGGCTACCAGTTGGGTAGGGTAAGAACTATGTAGGTTGTACTGGGCACCAGGTGTATGGAGTCACGGGTATAGCAGCGCACTATAGCTGTGTAGCGCACCAGTTATGCACTGTGAGGCAGCCAGTTGTGGAGAATGAGGCAGTTGTGTGGCCACAGGTGTGTGCCGTGTGAGGCAGTAGAGACGCACAGAACCGCCGCCATCGCGTCTCCTCTCATTACTACGCACCACCGTATAAATAACTTAAGAAAGATATCGATCGCGAAGGATTTTCTGATGACAATTAGCCGGGCGCCGTAAGGTCGCGGATGACGCGTGCCACTAGCTGAGTCATTGGACCCCAATCTTGGCCCGACCTTAGCAAAAAATGGAACGGTCAGTGCTTCTCTGATGTCGTGTGGCCGCCTTCATTGGGGCCCTGGCAGGTCTCTGGCAGTCATTTCCAATGGAAAATTGCCGTTATTCTCCTCGAGAAATGGTAGTGGGCAGATCACATGTGGTATAAATAGTTCATTCATCGCAAAATACGCTGCATGGACAGCAGATATTTTGGGAATTGGGCCAGAAATGCCAAATTAGACATTTATTTTTGGGAAAATTTCATATATAACAACTTTACCCAGCAATGACTCCATGATGTGATAAATATGAATTACAGGAAACGAGAAACAAATTTTGTGACTACATTACAGAACACGATATATAGCAGTTATCAATTTGTGCATGTCGTGCAGAGCAACAGAGAGAGAGGGACTAATGGTAGACCAGAACACGTCCGGGACTTGTCATTACTGCCTCGCAGCCTGTGAACAGCGCATCAATGGGGTTCTGCCCTTGAGAATTGAGTGGCGTCGGGGCGTCTTGGAGCCAGAAAACAGGGGTCCACTACACTTGTTGAGGGCAGCGACGCTCCAAGTTGGCGCCAGAGTCGCGCCATCTCTCTTCGGACACTTGTCGTGCTTCCCACTCTGATGGTGACACATGGGGTGTCTCTCCTGGTGCTGGAGGACACATGGGGTGTCTCTCCTGGTGCTGGAGACACATTGGGTGTCTCTCCTGGTGCTGGAGGACACATTGGTGTCTCTCCTGGCGCTGGAGGACACATTGGGTGTCTCTCCTGGTGCTGGAGGACACATTGGGTGTCTCTCCTGGTGCTGGAGGACACATTGGGTGTCTCTCCTGGTGCTGGAGGACACATTGGGTGTTTCTTCTGGTGCTGGAGACACATTGGTGTCTCTCCTGGTGCTGGAGGACACATTGGGTGTCTCTCCTGGTGCTGGAGGACACATAGGTGTCTCTCCTGGTGCTGGAGGACACATTGGGTGTCTCTTCTGGTGCTGGAGACACATTGTGTGTCTCTCCTGGTGCTGGAGACACATTGGGTGTCTCTCCTGGTGCTGGAGGACACATTGGGTGTCTCTCCTGGTGCTGGAGGACACATAGGTGTCTCTCCTGGTGCTGGAGGACACATTGGGTGTCTCCCCTGGTGCTGGAGGACACATGGGGTGTCTCTCCTGGTGCTGGAGGACACATGGATGTCTCTCCTGGTGCTGGGGACACATTGGGTGTCTCTCCTAGTGCTGGAGACACATTGGGTGTCTCTCCTGGTGCTGAAGGACACATGGGTGTCTCTCCTGGTGCTGGGGACACATTGGGCATCTCTCATGGTGCTGGAGGACACATGGATGTCTCTCCTATGGGGCTGAGGATTCACACTGGGTGTCTCCCTGTTGTCAGGGACATACAGGGACACATTTTTGTTTTCAAATCTCCCAGTATCCACCCATACTTTTACCCATTTGTCTCCGCCTCCACCGGGAATCGAACCCGGAACCTCAGGACTACGAATCCGAAGCACTGTCCACTCAGCTGTCAGGCGCCCAAGTGCATTGTTTTTATACATTTAAGTGTTAGCATTTGTTTTGTACTTTCGAATATTTGCATTATATTATTGTCTTCATTTACAGCCATTTAAATCACATTTTGACGCGTATATATTTTTTAAATATATAGTTTATTGATTTTGATATTTTAGAAATCCCAAAATCCCAAAACATTTACTTATATATTTTGTGATTAATTTTTCAATTTAATTTGTATTTTAATCCATCACCACGAATTTAGGATATATATATATATATATATATATATATATATATATATATATATATATATATATATATATATATATATATATATATATATATATATATATATATATATATATATATATATATATATATATATATATATATATATATATGAGAACCAGGAAAACATGAAGACTTTGGCAATATTTATTGATATTCGTGCTGTAACAGTCCCCATCATCAGTAATCACTGCAACGCAGACCTGACACTCATTATCTTTTACTGTAAAGTTTCATTAACTGTAAATTAATTAGCATAACCAAACACAAAATTTTGTTAGAGATATGCAAGAAAAAATTGGAAATCCAGAAGAACCTTTCACTCTAATTGGTTACTGGGGAAAAGGAGAGTGGGAGGAGGGGTGGGGGGAGGTGGGGATATACTGCTAGGGGAAGGAAAGAGGAGGGGAGGGGAGGGGAGGGGTTGAAGGATTGATTCGTCAGGGGTGATATTATGATATTAAGGGGTGGGGGTTAGATTCTCCTAGTGTGAATGAATAACTATGTATATTTAAACAAAGTGTGTCTCTCCTGTACATATATAGTGCGTCTCTCCTGTATATTTAAATATATATATATCTATGGACTCAAGGCTGATGAATATGACCTGTCTTCAACTGTGGACTTGGTAACTGGCTTATTTGAAAATGAAATCTGCAATATGTAAATATATCATCATTAGGTCCTGTCGTCATCCGAACCTCATATATACGGAATTATAATTAAATTCCTCTTTATTTAGGTGCAACTCTGAACCACCACATATGCAGTGAACAAGCCACATATACCGTTACCAAAGGTATATATCATTAACTAGCACATGTTCCGTTACTCAGCCTCATACACTGTTATGCTGCCATGTATACCGTTAACCACATGTACTGTTTCCAGCAACATGTATGGTTAACAAAGCAGATTTATGCTTAATCCACATACGTGAACACTTCTTGGTGGGCGATATATCTGGTGACACTGGTTGGGGAACACACACACACACACACACACACACACACACACACACACACACACACACACACACGCACTCACACACACACACACACACACACACACACACACACACACACACACACACACACACACACACACACACACGCACGCACACACACACACACAACTAAGTCTTAGCAAGTACAGAAAAACAAAAGCAATCATCAATTTGTATCCGGTACAGTGCGACAGTTGATGGTCATGTATCGAGTGTTATTGGGACGGTTCTTCTGGATAGTGTGGAGGAGAGTCAGGAGCATCACTGGGACGGTTCTTCTGGATAGTGTGGAGGAGAGTCAGGAGCATCACTGGGACGGTTCTTCTGGATAGTGTGGAGGAGAGTCAGGAGCATCACTGGGACGGTTCTTCTGGATAGTGTGGAGGAGAGTCAGGAGCATCACTGGGACGGTTCTTCTGGATAGTGTGGAGGAGAGTCAGGAGCATCACTGGGACGGTTCTTCTGGATAGTGTGGAGGAGAGTCAGGAGCATCACTGGGAAGGTTCTTCTGGATAGTGTGGAAGAGAGCGTCAGGAACCGGTATGGAAGAGTGGGAGGCTTGTCACTCTTCACTAGCGTCCGGCGTTAAGAATACCAATCCATCTCTTGAAGTCTGGAAACTCCTCGACGCGCTCCATAGCCAAGAGGCAAAGCTTGAACATCTCACTAGAGAAGCAGCCTTTCCTGTGAAGGGAAATAAATAATTCAACAACATGTATGTGTCGTGTCGCTAAAGGGAACGTTTTGTTTAGTCACTCTTCAGCAACTTCAGAGGCAGAAGAAAATGTATTAAATATTTGTGTATCATTAAAATATATTGCATTATCAGCCCCTAATATAGTACTGGAAGATAAGCATTCTATTTGTAAACATTTTAGTTAATTTTTTGCTGTATTTGACAGGAATTTTGACAACTTGGATACTGACCTGCATCCGGCCAAGACGTCAGTGTCCCGGAAGACGTTGTAGCAATCCTCACAAACCCGGGTCACCTTGCCGTGGACGGCTCGGTTGCCCATCACTCCAGGACATTCTTCGAAGACATACCTTGCCGTTGTCTGCTGTACCAGTAGCCCAACCACCACCACCAGCCACACTCTCTGTAAGGTCACACCAGCAGACATTATCAGTGTACTGTGTACTCCACCACCACCAGCCACACTCTCTGTAAGGTCACACCAGCAGACATTAACAGTGTACTGTGTACTCCTCCACCACCAGCCACACTGTAAGGTCACACCAGCAGACATTAACAGTGTACTGTGTACTCCTCCACCACCAGCCACACTCTCTGTGAGGTCACACCAGCAGACATTAACAGTGTACTGTGTACTCCACCACCACCAGCCACACTCTCTGTGAGGTCACACCAGCAGACATTAACAGTGTACTGTGTACTCCTCCACCACCAGCCACACTGTAAGGTCACACCAGCAGACATTAACAGTGTACTGTGTACTCCACCTCCACCAGCCACACTGTAAGGTCACACAAGCAGACATTAACAGTGTACTGTGTACTCCTCCACCACCAGCCACACTGTAAGGTCACACAAGCAGACATTAACAGTGTACTGTGTACTCCTCCACCACCAGCCACACTCTCTGTAAGGTCACACCAGCAGACATTAACAGTGTACTGTGTACTCCACCACCACCAACCACACTCTCTGTAAGGTCACACCAGCAGACATTAACAGTGTACTGTGTACTCCTCCACCACCAGCCACACTGTAAGGTCACACCAGCAGACATTAACAGTGTACTGTGTACTCCACCTCCACCAGCCACACTCTCTATTTGGTTAATGTTTTCTGTACAAATCTCCAAATGTTTCAACAAAATAAATACATTTTCTTTGTAAAAATTACACCTTTAACCAGTCTTATGAACACATAATGTTTAAAATATTATGTATCATCACACGTTAGTATTATTTTAGTTCTGTATTAGAATAAAGTATAAACCTTTATTGTTCTTTCTTAGTAACTTTATAGCATTAGTTTAGATTAAAATATTATATATATTTAGAGTTCTTATAGAAAGTTACAATACGAATTCTCAGTAACATTCCTGAATATATATTTTATATACTCAGCATTTGATTTCAAACACAACTTTGCCGGGTTTTAAGGAATAACGTCAATGTTATGTGAATGAAACTATAGGACCATCAGAGTCATGTCACTAACTTTGTCCAGGTGTAATTTTGTCCCTGAATAAAGACTTTAGTTGAGCAAGGAGGTGTAATTGTTCCTTTGCTCACTCTATATTCACCTTTATGTTGCGTTTTTCTAAAGTTAATAAATTTTCTATTTTCATTTTCACTCAGATATGTTGCATCTATTGAAAGATTTTTCTGCTCAGAGACCGAACTCATTTTGATTCTACTGCTATGACAAGTGGACGGTAGAGCGACCATCTCGCTACATGCTGGTTGGTGATCGTCCCGCGACTGTCCAAGTGGTTGGGCACTATTCCTTTCCTCTGTCCCCATCCCAAATCCTTATCCTGACCCCCTTCCAAGTGTATAATGACTTGGTGCTTTCTCCTGATAGATTCTTTCCATTCCATGCATTTGTAAGTGCGTTTGTACGTGAGCTTCTGTGTGTGGGTGTGTGTGTACTCACCTATTTGTGCTTGCGGGGGTTGTGCTTTGTCTCTTTGGTCCCGCCTCTCAATTGTCATTCAACTGGTGTACAGATTCCTGAGCCTACTGGGCTCTATCATATCTACATTTGAAACTGTGTATGGAGTCAGCCTCACCCACATCACTGCCTAATGCATTCTATTTACTAACTACTCTGACACTGAAAAAATTCTTTCTAATGTATCTGTGGCTCATCTGGGTTCTCAGTTTCCTCCTGTGTGGTATATATTCATTCACATATTTGTGTGTGTGTGTGTGTGTGTGTGTGTGTGTGTGTGTGTGTGTGTGTGTGTGTGTGTGTGTGTGTGTGTGTGTGTGTGTTCAAAATGAGCCAAACCTAACCCATAATTGTGTCGCTTCAGCTGAACATCGACTTTGTTAGAGCTTATGTTCGCTGATCATCGTCCTTACAGAGATTATTCAGGTGAAGGACAAATCTCCGTTAGCGCTTATATCAGACCGCATAAAATGTTCTCAACATCCATTACCTCTTTACTGCCTTCAGGAAATATCTTCTCTGAGAACATTTAATTGCCTTTCAATCACCATTTGTGTTGCATTTCCTTCCGTGAAAGAGAGAGAGAGAGAGAGAGAGAGAGAGAGAGAGAGAGAGAGAGAGAGAGAGAGAGAGAGAGAGAGAGAGAGAGAGAGAGAGAGAGAGAGAGAGAGAGAGAGAGAGAGAGAGAAATAATGATATAAACTATTCATCGTGTAGAAAATAATGACTACTAACCCGTACAATGAAGCATTGAGCCGCTTGGTTAACCATGTCTTGAAGCACTACTGACACCCGCTCTGGTGCTCTTCCACAAGCAACTCGTAGAACCTTCTTCTGTTACTTGTAACTTAAGCACCAAGCTTAAGGTATGAAACCTCTCCAGGTCCGGAGACGTTGCGTCACGCAGGAATCGTGTCACAAGTTGTTACCAGGAGCGTTGCTTCTGGGACTGCACTACGCAAGGATGCTGCGATTCCATCTCCACTCTTCCCCCTTATATATGGCAGAACTCTTTTCACGCAGATAATGGTACTGCGCAGAGTTCCAGAAATACGCGCTGGGTCAATTATTCTGTATATTATCATTGCTCTTTGCCTCACTTTCATAGGAGGAAAGGGTGACATCAACCCGAAGAGAAAAAACATTGAGCGATATACATAAAAATATGCAAATGCATTTATTTATATCACCAAATAATCACAATGTATCAACGAGAAAATAATTTTGTGGGAATGGGGGGTGACTTGAACCGGCGTTCTGGTGATTTCCAGACACCTGTCTTAACCCACTCGGCCAAGAAAGGACAAAATTAGACCAGCCCGGAACTCTACTGAATTCAATGCTATTGACAGCGAGCAAGAACTGGCACTGGTAGGTACTCCTGAATTAATATGAGAATGGGAAATTGTCATTGATTCGTTTGAAACTTTTGATAAAGCTTGTCTGCGGATTGGGGAGGGGGCCAATGTGACTCCAAACCGAATGTTCAATTTCCCACCCACACTTGCATCACCGCCAGAATTATAACTATTGAAGGAACGCGACGAGACGGAAGGTAATCTCTCCTGAAGACTAGCTGGAAAAAGGCACTCCAGAGACCTGTAAATACCTGAGACTAGCGAGATCCTGTCCGTCTCGCTTTGGCGCCAAGAACTTCGCTTTCACGAAACAAGCGCGTCTAATTTGTTTTTCTCGTGTTTAACATGTGTTATAAATGTGTTGGGATTCGTTATCGTCAGTTCAGTCGGGCTAATTTTTGCTGCCAACTGCTGTTATTAGTGTCTAGCCTTCTCATTTGTCACTGTTGGGTTATATGAGCCTGACCTATGACCTAAGTGCAATGATATATATATATATATATATATATATATATATATATATATATATATATATATATATATATATATATATATATATATATATACATATATGCAAACAAGCCTGAATGGTCCCCAGGACTATATGCAACTGAACAGGATAATAAGGCGTCCTGTACACGCCAGTTGCGCTGCTCCTGGCAGTATGGGTTCGAGTCACTTCTGGGGTGTGAGTTTTCAGTTATAAATATATATATATATATATATATATATATATATATATATATATATATATATATATATATATATATATATATATATATATATATATATTGGGTACTACCTCTAGTGCAATTGTAAGGACCTACAGCCTCGAAAAAGAAAATAAAGAGTATTCAGAGAAGATCTTGTGGATTCTCGCTGAACACTTGGATATTTTCCTCTCCTACCACCCCTATTTTTTCTTAAATTTTATTTAATATTATTTTATTTTATTACATTGCTACAGTTTACAGAAAACACACACAAATAACAATCAATGTTCGAAGACCTCGTCCAGCTCTTCGGAGGTTGGGTGCGTGCCCAAGGCACAGCACACATTTCCTCTCTGGACCGTGACACTGAGGCGCTGGAACAGGAAACTGGCCGCTCTTGAGTCTTTAGTTTTACCAATGAATTCCTCACCCACCTTCTTTAGGAACTTAAGTGAATATATACCCCAGGCACCCAGGGTTTCAGAGTCTATAGGCACGAACCTGAAACAACGTTCTAGGACCCTGTACTTGTTGGTTTTCTGGGTCTCCCTGAAGGTGGTCGCCCCACCTCCCTAAGCTATACAGCGACTTAGATAGGTATCAGCCAATGTGGATGCACACGTGTAGTCCCACACGACCTGCTAACCATCCCTCCATGGCTGCAGGGTGACTCCGTCTGGACGTTTTTGGCTGTTGTCAGGTCTGCACAACTGAGGTTCCCTTTGTTCTGGACTCTCAGTGGGAGCAAGCAACCCTCCCTGCAAGTCTCGACGGCCTTGGTGTCCGCACAGCCTACCAGATTGCTCTACCAGCCTTCCTTTCCTCCTCCCATGCATCGCACGACCTCGTAAGAGATATCCTAAAAGAACCCGCGAGTGATATAGCAGGAATACACGATCATGCTTTCACTGAATGTTCAAATCAGTGGGATACTCTTGCAGCCCCAGCATCCATCACAGATCCAACAAAAAAACATGAACAGTCCAGCTGGGACCACCCGCTAGTGGAAAAAATAGCTGATGCCATGCTCAGCGCTACAATATCAGACAAGGAGAAAGCCCGCCTCAGAGAAGTACATGTCCCACCGGGCATGTACGCGTCTAGATCCAGAATCCCTTCGTATAACAGTGGCCCTCCGCCTTGTTTCCCCAATTCGCACTGAATACAAGTGTATTTGTAACATGGTGGAAGCAGACCAATATGGACTGCATAGGTTGCACTGCGGAAGCACAAAGGGCTGGCATGCAAGACACAACGAGGTTAATGACATCATCAAGAGGAGCCTCGTCTCAGCTCAGTGCCCAGCGGAGAGAGAAATTCGCATCCTAGGGTTCCAAAACCCGGATTTCCCCGCACTTCGCCCTGATGGCATCACAATATACCCCTGGAAAAGGGGCAAAACACATGAGGAAAATGGGACAACACATGTGTATCCGCCCTGGCAGACACCTACATACACTTCGGTGCTGATCAAGCAGGTGGGGCGGCCAACCACAGGGAAACAGCAAAATCAGTCATATACGGGCGACTGGAAGGTCAATTCATCTTTGTTTCCATAGCGTCTGAGACACATGGCCTCTGGGGGCAGGAGTGCCTTGGGATTTCTCAAAGAATTGGGTTCCAGGCTCATTGACATCACCAGAGACCCAAGGGCTTCCAGTTTCTTGTTTCAGCGCCTCAGTGTGGTGATCCAGAGGGAAAACGCCTGCTGCGTCCTCGGTTTCTGTCCGGAAGCGGAGGAGCTCCAAGAGATCCATAACCTTTAAATCCTATTGTAGTAACTAATGTACATCTTGTACCTTCCAGTCAGAGGTGGTACCCCGTTTTATATATATATATATATATATATATATATATATATATATATATATATATATATATATATATATATATATATATATATATATATATATATATATATATATATATATATATATATATATATATATATATATATATATATATATATATATATATATATATATATTCACACTAGCTGTACCCGGCCATGCGTTGCTGAGCCACAGCAACCTTCCCCCGTCCCCTCGTCCTCCCCACCATCCCCCACTCCCTAGTCCCCTTGTCTTCCCCACCATTCTCCATTCCCCTGTCCCCTGTCCCCTCTTCCTCCTCACGATTACCCCCACCCTTATCCCCTCATCCTCCTCACCATCCCCCACTCTCTAGTCCCCTCGTCCACCCCACCATTCCCCACACCCTCGTTTGATGCATTCCCAAATGATCTGAAAATTGGGAACAATGAAATTGTTATATCAGTTCCTATCAGAAATTGGATAGAAATCCTATCTCGCTTCATGCAGGTCGGCGTTCAATCCCCGACCATCCAAGTGGTTGGGCACCATTCCTTCCCTCCGTCCCATCCCAAATCCTTATATCCTGATTCCTTCCCAGTGCCATATAGTCGTAATGGCTTGGCGCTTTCCCACGATAATGCCCTCCCATCACTGAAACATAAGAAAAACAGTTAAAAAACGAAATGAAAAACTAATATATAAAATAACTATATCCTCGAAGTGAACGGAATAGTAAACAACACAGCTCAATTCCAACGCATTGTCACACAAAATAATTAAAACAAAATGAAAATAAATCAGAATCTATGAAAATTCAATTAATCAATGAAATCGGAAACTTTGAAATGGAATCGTAACATTTAATAGCATGTGTTGCTATTACGGGCAACAGATGGCGCTGTTTTTCAAAAAGAATGTTTTTTTTTTCCCGTCACAGACGTGACATCTATATAAAATGTATATAAAAATCAGCTCGAATGCGAATGGAACGTTGTGTGAAAATTTTAAATCAATCGGTGAAGAACTTTCGGAGATTAGCGATTTTGAACAAACGAAAATTTACTGTTTTATTTATATTACCTGGTTGATACCTGGTTGATGGGGTTCTGGGAGTTGTTCTACTCCCCAAGCCCAGCCCGAGGCCAGGCTTGACTTGTGAGAGTTTGATCCACCAGGCTGTTGCTTGTAGCGGCCCGCAGGCCCACATATACCTGGTTGATGGGGTTCTGGGAGTTCTTCTACTCCCCAAGCCCGGCCCGAGGCCAGGCTTGACTTGTGAGAGTTTGGTCCACCAGGCTGTTGCTTGGAGCGGCCCGCATATTGCTATGGTGGGTTGTTTATTCTTTTTGTCATAATTTTGCATAATAAACAATTTGTCTCTAAAGTCTTCTAAAGTATTGTATTCTATTCAAAGAATAGAATACAATAGTTGAATAAATCACACGGTGCTAAGAGGTCTCTGGAAGCAGCTACCTCATACTGTATCATTCTGCGCATGGTGTCATCTGCGTGTAATAGACATCTGCCATATAAAAGACGAAGATTAGACATGGGGACCGCAGCATCCTTGCGTAGAGCAGTCCGCGTGGCATCGCTGCTAGCAACAGCTTCTGCACCGACGTGACGCACCGCCTGAGTCCAGGGGGAAGAGTCATACCTTAAGCTTGGTGCTGAGTTACCAGTAAGAGAAGAAGGTTCTACGAGTTGGTTGTGGAAGAGCACCAGAGCGGGTGTCAGTAGTGCTTCAAAACATGGTTAACCAAGCGGCTCAATGCTTCATTGTACGGGTTAGTAGTCATTATTTTCTACACGATGAATAGTTTATATCATTATTTCTCTATCTCTCTCTCTCTCTCTCTCTCTCTCTCTCTCTCTCTCTCTCTCTCTCTCTCTCTCTCTCTCTCTCTCTATCTTTCACGGAAGGAAATGCAACACAAATGGTGAATGAAATGCAATTAAATGTTCTCAGAGAAGATATTTCCTGAAGGCAGTAAAGAGGTAATGGATGTTGAGAACATTTTATGCGGTCTGATATAAGCGCTAACGGAGATTTGTCCTTCACCTGAATAATCTCTGTAAGGACGATGATCAGCGACCATAAGCTCTAACAAAGTCGATGTTCAGCTGAAGCGACACAATTATGGGTTAGGTTTGGCTCATTTTGAACACACACACACACACACACACACACACACACACACACACACACACACACACACACACACACACACACACACACACAAAATTGAGTGCCCAAATGAGCCATAGAGACGTTAGAAAGAGTTTTTTCAGTGTCAGAGTAGTAGACAAATGGAATGCATTAGGAAGTGATGTGGTGGAGGCTGACTCCACACACAGTTTCAAATGTAGATATGATAGAGCCCAGTAGGCTCAGGAACCTGTACATTAGTTGATTGACAGTTGACAAGCGGGACCAAAGAGCCAGAGCTCAACCCCTGCAAGCAAAACTAAGTACAACTAGGTAAGTACACACGCACACGCACACACACACACACACACACACAGAAGCTTACGTACAAACGCACTTACAAATGCATGGAATGGAAAGAATCTATCAGGAGAAAGCACCAAGTCATTATACACTTGGAAGGGGGTCAGGATAAGGATTTGGGATGGGGACAGAGGGAAAGGAATGGTGCCCAACCACTTGGACAGTCGCGGGACGATCACCAACCAGCATGTAGCGAGATGGTCGCTCTACCGTCCACTTGTCATAGCAGTAGAATCAAAATGAGTTCGGTCTCTGAGCAGAAAAATCTTTCATTAGATGCAACATATCTGAGTGAAAATGAAAATAGAAAATGTATTAACTTTATAAAAACGCAACATAAAGGTGAATGTAGAGTGAGCAAAGGAACAATTACACCTCCTTGCTCAACTAAAGTCTTTATTCAGGGACAAAATTACACCTGGACAAAGTTAGTGACATGACTCTGATGGTCCTATAGTTTCATTCACATAACATTGACGTTATTCCTTAAAACCCGGCAAAGTTGTGTTTGAAATCAAATGCTGAGTATATATAATATATATTCAGGAATGTTACTGAGAATTCGTATTGTAACTTTCTATAAGAACTCTAAATATATATAATATTTTAATCTAAACTAATGCTATAAAGTTACTAAGAAAGAACAATAAAGGTTTATACTTTATTCTAATACAGAACTAAAATAATACTAACTTGTGATGATACATAATATTTTAAACATTATGTGTTCATAAGACTGGTTAAAGGTGTAATTTTTACAAAGAAAATGTATTTATTTTGTTGAAACATTTGGAGATTTGTACAGAAAACATTAACCAAATAGAGAGTGTGGCTGGTGGAGGTGGAGTACACAGTACACTGTTAATGTCTGTTGGTGTGACCTTACAGAGAGTGTGGCTGGTGGAGGAGTACACAGTACACTGTTAATGTCTGTTGGTGTGACCTTACAGTGTGGCTGGTGGTGGAGGAGTACACAGTACACTGTTAATGTCTGCTGGTGTGACCTTACAGAGAGTGTGGCTGGTGGTGGAGGAGTACACAGTACACTGTTAATGTCTGCTGGTGTGACCTTACAGAGAGTGTGGCTGGTGGTGGTGGTTGGGCTACTGGTACAGCAGACAACGGCAAGGTATGTCTTCGAAGAATGTCCTGGAGTGATGGGCAACCGAGCCGTCCACGGCAAGGTGACCCGGGTTTGTGAGGATTGCTACAACGTCTTCCGGGACACTGACGTCTTGGCCGGATGCAGGTCTGTATCCAAGTTGTCAAAATTCCTGTCAAATACAGCAAAAATTTATCTAAAGTGTTTACAAATAGAGTGCTTAGCTTCCATTACTATATTAGGGGCTGATAATACAATATATTTTAATGATACACAAATATTTAATACATTTCCTTCTGCCTCTGAAGTTGCTGAAGAGTGATTAAGCAAAACGTTCCCTTTAGCGACACGACACATACATGTTGATGAATTATTTATTTCCCTTCACAGGAAAGGCTGCTTCTCTAGTGAGATGTTCAAGCTTTGCCTCTTGGCTATGGAGCGCGTCGAGGAGTTTCCAGACTTCAAGAGATGGATTGGTATTCTTAACGCTGGACGCTAGTGAAGAGTGACAAGCCTTCCACACTCTTCCATACCGGTTCCTGACGCTCTCTTCCACACTTACCAGAAGAACCGTCCCAGTGATGCTCCTGACTCTCCTCCACACTATCCAGAAGAACCGTCCCAGTGATGCTCCTGACTCTCCTCCACACTATCCAGAAGAACCGTCCCAGTGATGCTCCTGACTCTCCTCCACACTATCCAGAAGAACAGTCCCAGTGATGCTCCTGACTCTCCTCCACACTATCCAGAAGAACCGTCCCAGTAACACTTGATACATGACCATCAACTGTCGCACTGTACCGGATACATATTGATGATTGCTTTTGTTTTTCTCTACTTGCTAAGACTTCTTAGTTGTGTGTCTGCATTTGTGTGTGTGTGTGTGTGTGTGTGTGTGTGTGCATTTGTGTGTGTGTGTGTGTGCATTTTCATCCTTATATATTTGAGGTATTAGGCACGGCTCAAATTCCAGCCTTGGGAACATTTATACCTGAATGCGATGACTAGTTTCCCGGTTTTTTCATTTTCTTTATATACGTCAAAGGCTGAGACAGGCTGAACGACTACTTCTATAACCACTCCACTTCATGAGACCTTTAATGCTGACGAGTTTTCTACTGACGTCTCTGCAATTGATTGGTCATTCGTATTTCCATCTGTTCTTCAATTTTTGCTACTAATAAATTAAACAGTGCTTCTTTGTTTAACAATTTTCCATAGACCTTTGCTTTTGTTTTTCTTATCCCTTGTTCTTCGTCGCCTTTAATGTTGGGTGCTCCTGTTCTCTCAGTATCGAGCCGGTCAACCACTTGGGCTGGACGGTAGAGCGACGGTTTCACGTCATGTAAGTCGGCGTTCAATCCCCGACCGTCCAAGTGGTTGGGCACCATTCCTTTCGCCCCGTCCCATGCCAAATTCGTATCTTGATCAAATGCTATATAGTCTTAATGGCTTTTTGCTCTCTTATGATAATCCCCTTCCTCAGTGTCGAACTTTGTTTACAATATTTGTCCCATTTCTTGTTACGCATTGTGCTGTTACAGGAGAGGGTTATATGCTTGTGCTGGATATTTAAGAGTGGGTTTAGCAGACAGTATGAAGTGCCCAAGAGGCTCCTTTACAATAGTTTTTGAAGCCTATAGGATGGTTGAACAGTTGGTGACGGTGGTCTTGTAATGTGTTATTCTAGCATTTTATTTTTGGTTATATCTATTCCAAGATCTTGCTCTTCTGAAGCAGGAATTTACTTTCCCCTCATTTTACGCCCTTTTCACTCCTGTTGCAATCCTGTTTGCACTCCTGTTACATTTTCACTTCTGTGTCATCACTTACGTGTGTTTGCCCAGATGCTTCTGCATGGTATCACAGGCTATCTCTGTAGTAATTCCTCTTATTAGTTTTTCTTGTTTTGTAAATATTTATGTAATGGAGGCCATATTCTCTCTCAGGTCGATGACATATATCAGAAACAGAATGTGGGCTCAGCTCTGAGATATGTGCAACTTTACTCGTAGCCTCACTCGACTCTGATTTCCTCACACTCGACTCTGATTTCCTCACACTCGACTCTGATTTCCTCACACTCGACTCTGATTTCCTCACACTCGACTCTGATTTCCTCACACTCGACTCTGATTTCCTCACACTCGACTCTGATTTCCTCACTCTTGACTCTGATTTCCTCACTCTCGATTCTGATTTCCTCACTCTTGACTCTGATTTCCTCACTCTTGACTCTGATTTCCTTACTCTTGACTCTGATTTCCTTACTCTCGATTCTGATTTCCTCACTCTTGACTCTGATTTCCTTACTCTTGACTCTGATTTCCTCAGTTTCACTGTAACTCTTGACTTTGTTCCTGAGAGGTAGTCACTCATCCACTTTCGAACTTCTTCTGTTGCTACTAAATCATTTTGAAGAGTCTTTCCTGTTGTGGTCGTGTTGTTACCTCAAGACGTTCTAACGATGGATCAGTTTCCAGCTGAAAAAAAAAACATACTTGTAGCTTGTATTAAATAGTTTGCAAACACTTTCGTGCAGCCTGATCGTCTGGTCATTCTCAGTAATGTGAATGATGTGGCTGTGAAACGGTTGGGCTCGTCCTTTGCTTTGGCTGATACATCATTCTCGTTTAGCTGCTCCGGCAATCACTTAATTTCTGGTGCGTTCGGGGTCTCGTCCCTTTGAATACATTGGAATTTTATTCTATTCTGTGGTCTGTTAATTTCATCTTCGCAAGTTTTCTTCTCGTTGGCTCTAGACACTGCCAATTGAAACATGAGTTAATGCTCTTTTTAGTTTCCGATGCTTACAATGGTGGCAGAAACCGTTCTTCCAAATCGAGTTTACTTGTGGCTCGGTTTACAAGTAGAATATTTTTGTGTAACTGTATTGATATCACAGGAAGATGGCACATAATTTTTTTGTTTATGTTACTCCAATTTTTGTTTGCTATTCCTTCATATTTGATTTTACTCCCACTAACTCTTTACAATGGCATTTCTTTCAGGTATTTGTTTTAAATGTCAGCATTATTATCTCCCCCTTATCTTCCCCTTTTCTATTGCCACTATTTAAACTACATAGTCGTTATTTGTTCCATAATGAAATGTCGTGATCTACGATCTCATTCAGTGTGAAGCCTTATTCGTTAACCCGGGATTGAGCTTCGGCTCTTTGGTCCCGCCTCTCAACTGTCAATTTATTGGTGAACAGGTTCCTGAGTTTATTGAGTTCTATCGTAACTACACTTAAACCTGTGTGTGGATTCAGTCTCCACCACATCACTAATCGGTGGACATCACTTATTTGCATTCCTAATACACTCAATTAAATTCCATGTATGTTTGTGTGTGTGTGTGTGTGTGTGTGTGTGTGTGTGTGTGTGTGTGTGTGTGTGTGTGTGTGTGTGTGTGTGTGTGTGTGTGTGTGTGTGTGTGTATGTGTGTGTGTGTGAGTGTGTGTGTGTGTGCGTGCGTGTGTGTGTGTATGTGTTTGTGTGTGTTTGTTCGTTTATTGGCTTACATGAAAGAATGCGTGTTAATTTTTGTGAAATTCATATGAAAGTTTAAATATTGTTCCCTAGAAAGCCATTTTCGAATTATATATGATAATTTATTATTAAAAAGAATTTTTTATTTTTATTTAGTTGACCGTTCAATAAAGTGCAATTTATTAAAAACGTATTTTTTTTTAAATACTACTAAGATATTTCGGTTCACATGTACTCCGGAGTATTGAAGTGCTAATTCTTCCACTGTGAGCTGGTCGAGCCTAGCGACCACCCTGATATAACGTCCTAACCCTTCAATGTGGTCTCGACCACATCTGTCAGTCATGTGTCCGAGGGCGTCACTCTGCCTGAGAGACATCTGACAACCGTAACTTTCCTGCCAGTGTCTTAATAAGAGAAACGGATTACAATTTGATACATAATATAATGAATCAATAAAGTATGTACTGCTCATGTAAATATTTTTTTATTTTTTTTTGGTGTATCCAATTCATGCTTTCACCTTATTTGTCCTCACCTGAAGACTCAGCTTCCTGTAGTCTCTTTACCTGAAGACTCACCCTCCTGTAGTCCCTCCACCTGAAGACTCACCCTCCTGTAGTCCCTCCACCTGAAGACTCACCCTCCTGCAGTCCCTCCACCTGAAGACTCACCCTCCTGTATTCCCTCCATCTGAAGACTCACCCTCCTGTAGTCCCTCCATCTGAAGACTCACCCTCCTGTATTCCCTCCATCTGAAGACTTACCCTCCTGCAGTCCCTCCATCTGAAGACTCACCCTCCTGTAATCCCTCCACCTGAAGACTTACCCTCCTGTAGTCCCTCCACCTGAAGACTTACCCTCCTGTAGTCCCTCCACCTGAAGACTCACCCTCCTGCAGTCCCTCCACCTGAAGACTCATCCTCTTGCAGTCCCTCCACATGAAGACTCACCCTCCTGTAGTCCCTCCACCTGAAGACTCACCCTCCTGCAGTCCCTCCACATGAAGACTCACCCTCCTGTAGTCCCTCCACCTGAAGACTCACCCTCCTGCAGTCCCTCCACCTGAAGACTCACCCTCCTGCAGTCCCTCCACCTGAAGACTCACCCTCCTGTAATCCCTCCACCTGAAGACTCACCCTCCTGCAGTCCCTCCACTTGAAGACTCACCCTCCTGCCTCCCCTCCACCTGAAGACTTACCCTCCTGCAGTCCCTCCATCTGAAGACTCACCCTCCTGCCTCCCCTCCACTTGAAGACTCACCCTCCTGCAGTCCCTCCATCTGAAGACTCACCCTCCTGCCTCCCCTCCACCTGAAGACTCACCCTCCTGCTGTCCCTCCACTTGAAGACTCACCCTCCTGCCTCCCCTCCACTTGAAGACTCACCCTCCTGCCTCCCCTCCACCTGAAGACTCACCCTCCTGCAGTCCCTCCACATGAAGACTCACCCTCCTGCAGTCCCTCCACCTGAAGACTCACCCTCCTGCAGTCCCTCCACCTGAAGACTCACCCTCCTGCAGTCCCTCCACCTGAAGACTCACCCTCCTGCCTCCCCTCCACCTGAAGACTCACCCTCCTGCAGTCCCTCCACCTGAAGACTCACCCTCCTGTAGTCCCTCCACCTGAAGACTCACCCTCCTGCAGTCCCTCCACCTGAAGACTCACCCTCCTGTAGTCCCTCCACCTGAAGACTCACCCTCCTGCAGTCCCTCCACCTGAAGACTCACCCTCCTGCAGTCCCTCCACCTGAAGACTCACCCTCCTGCAGTCCCTCCACCTGAAGACTCACCCTCCTGTAGTCCCTCCACCTGAAGACTCACCCTCCTGCCTCCCCTCCACCTGAAGAGTGATCCCTTCCCTCCTCTTCCCCGCTACAAGGACGTACAGGAATGAACAAGAAATATGGGTACACCATTTGGTGTTTGTACCATAAAAATCCTTTTTGTCAATTCGTGTAAATTTTGTGTGATTTTTTTTTACCAGTGTATATATTTGTATTTGTTGCATGGGTGTAAGTAAAGATGAAGTGCACTGGTATAGAAATACAGGGGGATTACAGATATACACAAATTAATAGACGGCCGGCGAATGGACCTTCAGCAAATCGATACGAAACTTAATTAATGGAGGTGAAGCCTTTAAAACCTAAGGTTGCATGATGCAGTTACGCAGGCTCCACGTTGGCTCCAGCTCCAAGAACGAGGAGCGTGTCATAGTGCCACGCAAGGTGCTGACGTCAGTCGCTGTCGGTCGGTATATAAGGTGATACCTGTGACCTGTCCCCTCTAAGACGTCTCAACCACAAAGCCTCAAATCTCTCAGCTTCGTTTCTCCTAAATTAAGAGTGTTCCCCAGTTATTTATTCGTAGTTTCCCGTTCCTCGAGATTACATTATTCCTCCAATCTCGAGAAGACGTCTGCTTCTCGTTTTTTACCTCGAGAACACGACGGCATTCTTCTCCTAGACGCTTTACAGTGTTCTGTAAGATTGTCAGATCTCGTCTCTCGTGTTCCAACAGCGATCACAGCTGCGAGATCAGTGACTACACGAGTACCGGCTGGTGCAGGTGCCGTGGGGAATGACACCACAGGTGTCCTCGTTTATCTCATTACAGGTAAGTGCTTCAACACACCTGCAAATACTTAAAAAAAAAAATTTGGGTACATTTACTAATTTTACCTTAAATGTATTTTTACTACTTTTTCATTGGGATTGTAAGTGATAAACTTCATTATTTGGATCACTCTTGATTATCTCAGAGTTTTATTTAATTATAGAGGTTGAGTTTATTGGTATATTCGTACATTGTTCACCAACATGTAGCACATCTGTACACTGTTGATGAACATGTACCACATCTGTACACAGTTGATGAACATGTAGCACATCTGTACTCAGTTTATGAACATGTAGCACATCTGTACACAGTTTATGAACATGTAGCACATCTGTACACAGCTGATGAACCTCTAGTGCATCTGTACACAGTTGATGAACCTCTAGTGCATCTGTACACAGCTGATGAACCTCTAGTGCATCTGTAGTTGATGAAAGTGCCACAAATCTGCAAATACATGTAAAACCTTCAGCTCATCTGTAAAGAGACAGTGAACCTTAGACACAGCTTTACTGAGCCTAAGAAACAGCTGGGTACATAATACATAGTTACTGAACCAACGACCCTTTTGGAGGATTTGCAAATAGGCCAAAATCTATAATTGCCAATTGTGCAAAGGAAGGGGGGAACCCCAACAAGCACTTCCTTCAGACGTAGCAATTTGGCATACACTTTCCAGAGATAAACGATGTTAGAAGTCACGCTTTTGAGACGTAGCGGTGTTGCCATAGCGTTCTTGAGACAGCGGTGTTGCCATAGCGTTCTTGAGACAGCGGTGATGTCATAGCGTTCTTGAGACAGCGGTGTTGTCATAGCGTCCTTGAGACAGCGGTGTTGCCATAGCGTCCTTGAGACAGCGATGTTGCCATACCGTCACTGAGACAGTTGTGTTGCCATACCGTCCCTGAGACAGCGGTGTTGCCATACCGTCCCAGAGACAGCGGTGTTGCCATACCGTCTCTGAGACAGCGGTGTTGCCATACCGTCCCTGAGACAGCGAAGTTGCCATACCGTCCTTGAGACAGTGGTGTTGCCATACCGTCCCTGAGACAGTTGTGTTGCCATACCGTCCCTGAGACAGCGGTGTTGCCATACCGTCCCAGAGACAGCGGTGTTGCCATACCGTCTCTGAGACAGCGGTGTTGCCATACCGTCCCTGAGACAGCGAAGTTGCCATACCGTCCTTGAGACAGTGGTGTTGCCATACCGTCCCTGAGACAGTTGTGTTGCCATACCGTCCCTGAGACAGCGGTGTTGCCATACCGTCCCAGAGACAGCGGTGTTGCCATACCGTCCCTGAGACAGCGAAGTTGCCATACCGTCCCTGAGACAGTTGTGTTGCCATACCGTCCCTGAGACAGCGAAGTTGCCATACCGTCCCTGAGACAGAGGTGTTGCCATACCGTCCCTGAGACAGTAGTGTTGCCATACCGTCTCTGAGAGAGCGGTGTTGCCATACCGTCCCTGAGACCGAACAGAGTTGAAAGACACTTCCCAGAGACCTAACGGACTCAACAGACACTTTCCTTACGCCTAGCGCATTGGTAATTCCTTCCTGACACTTAGTGGAGCAGGCAGACACTTTCTTCAAAGCGAACGAAGTTACTAGACACTTCCCTCAGTTCTAGCGGACTTGAAAGGCACTTCCCTCAGTTCTAGCGGACTTGAAAGACACTTCCCTCAGTTCTAGCGGACTCTGAAGGCATTTCCCTCAGTTCTAGCGGACTCTGAAGGCACTTCCCTTAGTTCTAGCGGACTCTGAAGGCACTTCCCTCAGTTCTAGCGGACTCTGAAGGCACTTCCCTCAGTTCTAGCGGACTTGAAAGACACTTCCCTCAGTTCTAGCGAACTTGAAAGGCACTTCCCTCAGTTCTAGCGGACTTGAAAGGCACTTCCCTCAGTTCTAGCGGACTTGAAAGGCACTTCCCTCAGTTCTAGCGGACTTGAAAGGCACTTCCCTCAGTTCTAACGGACTTAAAAGGCACTTCCCTCAGTTCTAGCGGACTTAAAAGGCACTTCCCCGAGAGTTAAAGGAGTTGGGAGACATTCCTGACCCTGGGTCTTGATAGCTACCTTGGAGTTTTTCCGGGGCTTAGCGTCCTCGCGGCCCGGTCGTCGACCAGGCCTCCTGCCTAGCTACCATATAATGCCGACACCAAACCCAAATAAATATGTGTAAATGTGTTAGCTAAATCATCACAGAAAATCAGGAAAAATTGTGTTGTTATTTTTATAGTGTTGGCCAAACCACACACTAGAAAGTGAAGGGACGACGACGTTTCGGTCCGTCCTGGACCATTCTCAAGTCGATTGGTCTAAAGTCGATTGGTCTAAAGTCGATTGGTCAAACCACACACTAGAAAGTGAAAGGACGACGACGTTACGGTCCGTCCGGGGGACCATTCTCAAGTCGATTCTTCCAGGACGGACCTAAACGTCGTCGTCCTTTCACTTTCTAGTGTGTGGTCTGGTCAACTTATTTCAGCCACGTTATTGTGACTCCTCGACTGCATTGTGGCACTGTTTAATTTGTGCTTACAAATCTGATTAACCATGGACGTGTATTAACGTTGTGGTACGACCACTCAGGGAGTTTGGGTGATGGTGTGGATGGTCGCCCTGCTCGGGACGGCCCACCAGGCGAAGGGCCTCTTCGTTGATGACGAGTGCGCAGGGGTGGCTGGCAACCGGGACATCTACCAGAAGGTATTGTGGGTCTGCCAAGACTGCTCCAACATCTTCCGCAACCATGACGTCGAGGTCAAGTGCAGGTCAGTCTCCTTAGGTCTATTTGTCCTTCGGCTAGGTTTGTTCAGGCGGCGGACGAACGCTAGCTAGACGCATTCCAGATTTTTACCTTACTGCGTATTCAAAATTTGTTTGTTCTCAAATATAAAGAAATATTATTTGACCATCCGCTCTACCATCCACTTGGGGTGGATGGTAGAGTGACGATCTCGCTTCATGCAGGTCGGCGTTCAATCTCCAACCTTCCAAGTGGTTGGGCACCATTCCTTCCCCCCGTCCCATCCCAAATATCATCCTGATCCCTTCCAAGTGCTATTTAGTCGTACGACCTTGGCGCTTTCTCCTAATAGTTCAACTCAGTTCACAATAGAATGTGTTGAATAGTTAGGCCTGAATTAGGTTACATTAATTGGCTTGATTCTGTTCACTATTATTCGTATTTGTAGTACGTGAATGAAGTATTTAGTGGTGCGATTCGAGCAGACTTCAGGAACGAAACACTGAATGAGAAACATACATACATCATTAGTTGAGTCGTGTGTAAAGTGTTTTTCACTAATAACCAGATGGTTTGGTGGTTAGATTAACAAGCATTTGGCGTTACTGGATGAAGACTGACTGCAGTTTGTCCAAATCGTGCGCCACATGAAGCTGTATGAAGTATGAATTTCATTCATAAATTTTAATTCATGAAAAAGGGGTTTGGCGGGTGCATGGAATGGCCTCTGGCCTTTGTTGATGAGGACGGGCTGGCCGCCGGGGTACACCAGCCCCCAAACCACCTGTCATGAATTACAAATGCTTCACACACGGCTCACAACTGATGACGCTCGAGAACAGTGCTTCGCAGACGATCTCTGTTCGAATCCCGCCCGTCTCCATCAACACAAGCCACATGCTCATTTAAGTGCAAAACCGTCTTCATCATCAAAAGCCAAACGTGATCGTTAATTCGGGCGCCAAACCTCCTGTTTATGAATAACAAACATTTTACACACTACTTTCACCTGATGTATGCATTTTCATCCAGCAGTGCTTCGCTCAAGGCCTCTGCTCGAATCCAGACTCCTCTAGATGCTTTACCCACGTACTACAAACGCTAATATAGCATTAAACAGAAATCGAATAAATCAAATGCTAATATAGTATTAAACAAAAACATAGAAATTAAACAGTTTTAGCTCCAGCTATTCAACATATTAAAGTATGTAATAATATTATCTTCTTGAGAATCACTTGATTCACAATCGATTTGAGAATGGTCCAGGACGGACCGAAACGTCGTCGTCCCTTCAACTTCTAGTGTGTGGACTGGTCAACATACTTTAGCCACGTTATTGTGACTCATCGCCAGCATATGGCAAGGCTCTTCTTATGTCAGACGAGCACAGTTTGGGATAATTTATACATGCAGTCAGGTTTGCTACACTCTAAGTTGACAGAAAGGATATTGGCTCCGAAAAGTTTACCCAACTTCTCGGTATATAATACACAAAGAGTTTGAACAAATCCACAAGGGCCGTGACGAGGATTCGAACCTGCGTCCGGGAGCATCCCAGACACTGCCTTAATCACAAAGAGAGACCACTGTGTCACAAAGAGTTTACTTTAGTCTTTGACCGTGTTCAGAAATAAAGTATTATTGCTGGACCTGTAGTCTGTTGTGGTGGTTTTAGGAACCCGTCTACGGACCATAGCTCTTAATACCATTACAAAACGAAAGCCATGTGCATTTGCCAATACATATACCTCTCCTCTTACAAATTACTTCTGAATTTGGCCGTTTATCCGTATGGCCAAAAGTGGACGTAATTTACAAATAAAAAAATTAATAAAATTTTGGATTTTTTTTTCCAAAACAGTAAGTTAAGGGTCCTCTGGTTGGTTAGGAGGGCAGGAAATTATCCTAAAGTTTCAAAATATCATGAAAAACGTTAATTGAAAGTATTCTCTCCTAACCTAACCGAGTAAGCCAGAGGGCACAAACAGAAAACAGTACATCACTTTCGTGAGCCGATTTCAATTCATATTACGTTAATTTTTGGCCATAGTGCACATACAAGCGAAAAAAGACGTTATTTTTAAGAGGACGAGTTGCTATCCGATGAACAAAAACTTATTGGCACATGCAACCAGGTGTGCAAGCAACAAATGTGACTGAAAACCACAATTTTCTTCAGGAAAGACTGCTTCTACAACTCTGATTTCCTGTGGTGTGTCTACGCTTCTGAGCGCCACCAGGACCTGGAGCAATTCAAGCGTTGGATCAGTATTCTGAGAGGAGCTCGCAAGTAAAACCCATCTACCTACTCACCCTCCAAGAGGTTATGTAAACCCATCTACCTACTCACCCTCCTAGAGGTTGTGTACCATTCTTTCTCCCCTCTCAGTCATATGCCAAATTCTTACCCTCGTTGACTGATTGATTGACCAAGATTTAGCCACACAAGAGGTGGCACGGGCATGACTAACCCGTATTGCCGTCGTTTCCCATCCATGTGCTATGTAGCACATGGATGGGAAGGTGCTATATAGCACATGAAGACTTAGCACCTTCTCATACTCACCTTACATCCCTAATTTCTTACGTTAAATGTGTTTCCAAGCTTCATATTTATTAATATGTTTAAGGATTAGCAATAACAATATTAATTGGTAATTTTTTGTTTAATGTTTTTGAATAAAAATGTTTTAATATTTGTTTATGGACGAACTTAAACACCTACTTATAACTAGTATTGACACATAAATAATGAGGAAACTGCACCACGAAGATAAAAATATGAATATTAATGTAAATAAAAATGACCTAATGCATTATGAGTATAAAAAAAACATGAACTATAAGACAGGACTAAATTATGGTTGCTGGTTGGTTAGTAGGCAATTGTGGTTAGCCATAATAACCATCTAGAGGTTGACAGGACTTTTTAACCCCAGCATCTCTAATATGAAGAGAGAGAGAGAGAGAGAGAGAGAGAGAGAGAGAGAGAGAGAGAGAGAGAGAGAGAGAGAGAGAGAGAGAGAGAGAGAGAGAGAGAGAGAGAGAATTAGCACAATGCAAAGCGCCAAGCCATTACGACTATATAGCACTGGGAAGGGATCAGGATAAGGATTTGGGATGGGGACGGTGAGGAAGGAATGGTGCCCAACCACTTGGTGGACGGTCGGGGATTGAACGCTGACCTGCATGAAGCAAGACCGTCGCTCTACCGTCGAGCCCAAGTGCTTGGACAGAAGGGGAAGGGGGACTATCTGGAGAAAGCGCTACACCATTTCGACTAAATATCACTTGGGAAGTGCTTGGACAGAGAGAGAGAGAGAGAGAGAGAGAGAGAGAGAGAGAGAGAGAGAGAGAGAGAGAGAGAGAGAGAGAGAGAGAGAGAGAGAGAGAGAGAGAGAGAGACTGAGAGACAGAGAGAGTATGAGACAATCAACAGAACTTCCAGTCTTGGTGTTCCACAGGGCGGCACTTTTTCGGACAGCGTTGAGTTAGCGTCTCACCCCGGTACTTCTTCCGATAACTGTGAAAGAAAATATTTAAATGTGAAGTTAAATTGACGTTTTAATAAACAGTAACTTTTGTCACGAAAGTATTTCGAAGTTTCATTAGAGATATATTTTTATTCAGGCATATTGGAATAAGAACACTTTTGCTATTTGATACACACTTTTTTTGAGTGCCAAGAAAAGATTACTAAATAATAGCAGATGGTGTAGTGGAACAGTTAGAGAAATGATGCTCGTTATTGTGAAAATAAAAATTCATTAGTAATGTCAGTTGCAATTGTATTATTTACAACAGTTGTATTTGTGCAGAGGTACTACCTATGTGCCGAGGAACAGCAGTTACTCTAATGTATGAAGGATAATTCTTAATATATTTTGAAGCTTGTATACGTGTGTGTGTGTGTGTGTGTGCGTGTGTGTGTGTGTGTGTGTGTGTGTGTGTGTGTGTGTGTGTGTGTGTTTGTGTCTCTGAAGCTTTCCCTAACATATCCAAATACGGATAATAAACATCTTTTTAAGGATTACTTGAAATCCATACCTAAGACTGAAACAATTATTTGCAATCAAATAACTTCTTGTGTTTCAATTACTCCGTCCGATAAAAACATTTGCTAACATTTTAAGTATATTTTTATTTACCTGTATTTACCGGAAAATGCTTATTTTCTTTACCGGAAATATCTATGTAATGCTGAGGCAGTAGATCCGTAAGTTGCCTACCGTGTATAACAGTCTTGGAGCTTATCCAACAGAAATAAAATCACATCAGAAAGAATAATTCTATCAAGAAACCTGATATTAGGATGAGAACACACAGGGAAGGAGACACTGGAGGATACATGGATGGAGAGAAACATACTGGAGGACACACTGAAGAACACATGAACGAGACACACACCTGCGGGAACCAACGAAAGAGCCGTTCTCCCTCTGTGTGGGCCACGGAACGTTCCCTTCAGAGTGCATGCAACAGTAGCTGTCATGAGCGAGCACTCGTCCCTTCATCAACGGCCATAACCACTTCTAAAAAACATTATTAATAATAATAACTAAACCCAGAAACAATGAATGGCTTCACAATGACTCTTATGCACTCACGATGAAGACATTCACCCGTCTTGAACTATTATCAAAAAATTATAATCGTTCAAAATGGACCGAAGCATCACCACTCTCTTTATATTCAAAATGTATGCGATGGGTATCTATGTTTATATTTAACAATATACTTACTCCTAACACGTTCTGATCGTATCCACGATTCGTTTGGTGTAGAGAGTCAGCCAGCATGTTCATTTTGACCACAGTTATCATGCTGCTGTTCTCGAATTCTTGCCTCCAGCGAACGCCCCATAATCCTCCCAAGATAGACACACAGTGGAATGGATGATCTCTCATCACGTGGAAGGTTTTATCCGAGGCTAACCAAGCTTGGACTGCAGTAAATTCGCGCTTACTCACCTGCCAAAAAAAATAATCAACCTAAAAATTTACAACATCTACTTCTTCACATGTTTAACAAGGCCATTAGAAGACGATGAACACTTAGGTGGATCCTGTGGTCATACGAGTCAGAATCTATTTACTGAGAAATAAATTACACGAATCAGTTCGATGTATTTTAGCAAAAAATCTTCAGAGCATTTACTCAGTAATGCCAATATGAAATTAGGTCAATTTGATGATGAATTTGATTGCATTTTTTATTTTGGGTACTTTGAGGTTTTTATTACTTTTATTTTGGGTATTTTGGGTATGTGTATGACTCTTTGAGTTCTTGTTTATCTCTAATTGTGGGTAAAACATTGAATGAACAAGCTATATTTATAAGTTTTCACTTATATTATCCAAGATTCCCATTTGCTGTGTCATAAAATAATATATTTATATAGTATATATGTATATATATGATAGCATGTTCAGTTGGAATAAAGTGTTGCAAGTTCTGTACTCTTCTGAAATTTGTAAGTGTTGCACCATCTCGTATCCCTGTAATATCCCTGACTAATATTTCAGTGGTTTTTGTAACGTGAAGATGATTTTTGCTTAAGCATACAGTGATTTAAGTACATTTGTATTAATTTTAACCAAGAAGGGTAATTAAGCACACACACACACACACACACACACACACACACACACACACACACACACACACACACACACACACACACACACACACACACACACACACACACACACACACACACACAGAAGAATCCATGGTATAATAGGGCATGTATGGAAGCGAAGAAACTGAACAAAAAGGCGTGGAGGAACTTCCGGAATAACAGAACACCAGAAAGCAGAGAGAGATACCAGAGAACCAGGAATGAGTACGTCAGGGTGAGAAGAGAAGCAGAGAAAAATTTTGAAAATGATATAGCAAACAAAGCCAAGACCGAACCAAAGCTACTCCACAGTCACATCAGAAGGAAAACAACAGTGAAAGAACAGGTATTGAAACTTAGAACAGGCGAGGACAGATATACAGAGAATGACAGAGAGGTGTGTGAGGAACTCAACAAGAGGTTCCAGGAGGTCTTCACAATAGAACAGGGTGAGGTCACTGTGCTAGGAGAAAGGGAGATAAACCAGGCGGCCTTGGAGGAGTTCGAAATTACGAGAGAGGAGGTCAAGAGACACCTGCTGGATCTGGATGTTAGAAAGGCTGTTGGTCCAGATGGGATCTCACCATGGGTACTGAAAGAGTGTGCAGAGGCACTTTGCTTGCCACTCTCCATAGTGTATAGTAAGTCACTAGAGACGGGAGACCTACCAGAAATATGGAAGACGGCGAATGTGGTACCAATATACAAAAAGGGCGACGGACAAGAGGCACTGAACTACAGGCCAGTGTCCTTGACTTGTATACCATGCAAGGTGATGGAGAAGATCGTGAGAAAAAACCTGGTAACACATCTGGAGAGAAGGGACTTCGTGACAAATCGCCAGCATGGGTTCAGGGAGGGTAAATCTTGCCTTACAGGCTTGATAGAATTCTACGATCAGGTGACACAGATTAAGCAAGAAAGAGAGGGCTGGGCGGACTGCATTTTCTTGGATTGTCGGAAAGCCTTTGACACAGTACCGCATAAGAGGCTGGTACATAAGCTGGAGAGACAGGCAGGTGTAGCTGGTAAGGTGCTCCAGTGGATAAGGGAGTATCTAAGCAATAGGAAGCAGAGAGTTACGGTGAGGGGTGAGACCTCCGATTGGCGTGAAGTCACCAGTGGAGTCCCACAGGGCTCTGTTCTCGGTCCTATCTTGTTTCTGATATATGTAAATGATCTCCCGGAGGGTATCGATTCATTTCTCTCAATGTTTGCGGACGATGCTAAAATTATGAGAAGGATTACAACAGAAGAGGACTGTTTGAGGCTTCAAGAAGACCTAGACAAGCTGAAGGAATGGTCGAACAAATGGTTGTTAGAGTTTAACCCAACCAAATGTAATGTAATGAAGATAGGTGTAGGGAGCAGGAGGCTAGATACAAGGTATCATCTGGGAGAGGAAATTCTTCAGGAGTCAGAGAAGGAAAAAGACTTGGGGGTTGATATCACGCCAGACCTGTCTCCTGCAGCACATATCAAGCGGATAACATCAGCGGCATATGCCAGGCTGGCCAACATACGAACGGCATTCAGAAATTTGTGTAAAGAATCATTCAGAACTTTGTATACCACATATGTCAGGCCAATCCTGGAGTATGCAGCCCCAGCATGGAGTCCATATCTAGTCAAGGATAAGACTAAACTGGAAAAGGTTCAAAGGTTTGCCACCAGACTAGTACCTGAGCTGAGAGGTATGAGCTACGAGGAGAGACTACGGGAATTAAACCTCACTTCGCTGGAAGACAGAAGAGTTAGGGGGGACATGATCACCACATTCAAGATTCTGAAGGGAATTGATAGGGTTGATAAAGACAGTCTATTTAATACAAGGGAAACACGCACAAGGGGACACAGGTGGAAACTGAGTGCCCAAATGAGCCACAGAGATATTAGAAAGAACTTTTTTAGTGTCAGAGTGGTTGACAAATGGAATGCATTAGGGGGTGATGTGGTGGAGGCTGACTCCATACACAGTTTCAAGTGTAGATATGACAGAGCCCGATAGGCTCAGGAATCTGTACACCTGTTGATTGACGGTTGAGAGGCGGGACCAAAGAGCCAGAGCTCAACCCCCGCAAACACAACTAGGTGAGTACAACTAGGTGAGTACACACACACACACACACACACACACACTTGTATGTGTGCTAGAAACGTATGTAGTAGTCATAATAGAGTCAATATAGATTGGTTAAACAGGTGGGGTCCAAAATCTAATTGCTCGATTCTGCTGGCACAAATAGTAAATACACACACATGCACACTCATACCCACCCACAAACACACCCACATGCACACCCACATACACACACACACACACACCCTCACAAACACACACACACACACACACACACACACACACACACACACACACACACACACACACACACACACACACACACACACACACACACACACACACACACACACACTCACACCCACCCACTTACACTCCCACATACATACACACACACACACACCTCCCCCACAACGTACCGGCATGTCAGTATCACGGACCATCAGAGTCTCCAACTGCGGGTCCCCTAAGGCCGCCACCCGCCACATCATAGGGTGAATGTTGGTGATGTTACCCAAAGGTAGGGGAAGGTTCCCCACGTCACACACATACAAGTGCGGGTGACGACTCAGAAGAGGGCAGAGGTAGGCAGAGCGGGTGTCTGGGACGGTGTACAGACGTACCATCCACCCTGGGTACATGGTAGCCACCTGTAGACAATAACATGATTTTTGGCTGAATTTTGTAATCATATATGCTCTGTGAAAGAGCATATAGGATTGCTTAACTATTTTGCTTGCAGGGAGCTTGGGTGGGGGATGAGTTGGAGCTTTTTGGACCCGTCTATCATTTAATCAATGAGTGTAAAATTTTCTTATACTATTAAATTTAGATTTGAAACTGTGAATGTAGTTTCCCTCCATATATATATATATATATATATATATATATATATATATATATATATATATATTGACTGCATAATCTGTATTGATTATTTTTTGGTTTAGGGCTTTTATCTCTCTGACTACTACTCTTGCATCTTGGATTAATTGAAGAGGAGTTTTCCAAATGTCATCTTTGTACTAGGGGAAGAAAAATAAATAATTAACCGTAGGATAGTTATTCTACGGTTAATTAAACTTATTATAAATTTAAACAACGCTCGAACCTACATGGTTCATTCTCAAGTGATGAGACAGTAGAGAGCGTATTGGAAATATAACACATAAAATTTTCCACAGAAAAATAGAGCAATTCATCATAAATGCCCTAATTACGGAACTATGCAGTCTACCCACCATGAGAGTAAGAACAAGACCAGAAAGTGAAGATGCCAACATAGAAGACACTGCTCAACATGCCACGCCCACTACACCTGATAAATCTTTGTATGTGCTGCATCCCCTTTTTTTCGCCTTATTCTTTGCACTTTACTCTCCACTTCCTTTATGCTTTCTTCACCAATTTGTATTTGTATGTACCTGACCTCCCTTTTGGTATAAATCGAATATGCCCTTTACAGTCCCATCACTTGAGAATGAACCATGTAGGTTCGAAACGTTTTGTTAATATATAATTAGTGTAATGTATTCAACAGTTAATTATTTATTTTTATTCACCTCATTCAAAGATTACAATTGGAGTTCTTCCAATTAAACTAAGATGCAAGAGCAATAGACAGAGGGATAGAAGCTCTAAACAAGAAATTAATCAATACAGAATATGCAGTCATATTAAATGAAACATGTATAAATGAAAACCATACCTCCAGTATACACCAATATATGAGAGAGAGAGAGAGAGAGAGAGAGAGAGAGAGAGAGAGAGAGAGAGAGAGAGAGAGAGAGAGAGAGAGAGAGAGAGAGAGAGAGAGAGAGAGCACTCTAGTGTCGTGCACTAGAGTGCACGACACCATCACTATATGTACGAACTCCCACGGTGGAGTCACGTACGGTACTTACCTTACTGAGTATATCATCAAGACCTTCCCAGTACTCGGCCTCTTCACCATAGAGAGAGAGAGAGATGACCTTCTGCCCTCCTCCTGCCTCCCATGCCCGCTGCCCACAGGTGCCCCCAACACGTGCCATGGAAGCTCTCTCCACTGGACCTTCAGGGACACACACCTGCCTCTCACACTTGCATAGTCCGCCGTCCCACCACGGTACATGTGGCTCCTGTAACGCCAGTCATTAAGAACAGAGTAACGCGTTTTAATATAGAGAGCTCATTGGCCTTACCAACTACTACTGACTGCTGCAGTCATATCTTTCTGATGTTTAGACACATTACTTGTCGAGTAATACACATGTTTCATAGTCACACACATGTCTCATTTATATTCACACACGTGTTTCATTTATATTCACACACGTGTCTCATTTATAGTCACACACCTGTCTCATTCATAATAGTACACTTACAGGTGTATATGAAAATAAAAAATATCTTGAAGCACCTAATACAGTGTTCAGAATCCCAAAGTTTCATTCAGAGAATTGTCTATCACCAGAGCAGCAGCGTAGGACCCGTGAAGAGTAAAGTACACTAAGAAACTGGAGTGGTACATGGTATTGATTCCTTGGCCAGTATCTTATCTTGAGATTATCTTGAGATGATGTCGGGGCTTAGCGTCCCCGCGGCCCGGTCCTTGACCAGGCCTTCTTTTTTTGTTACACACCCGCAGCAAGCAGCCCGTAGTAGCTGTCAAACTCCCAGGTACCTATTGACTGCTAGGTGAACAGGTACATCAGGTTTAAAGAAGCTCAGCCCAATTTGTTACCGCCTCCACCGGGGATCGAACTCGGAATCTCAGTACTACGAATCACAAGCGCTGTCCACTCAGCTGTCAGGCCCCCCTCCCCCCCTGTATGAGATATTCGAGAAGGGATATGAGGTCCTTAGAAAACATTTCCACATAGCTTGAAACAGAAGAATGCCAGGGAATATTGATTTCGAAATGTAAACTGAAGGGGGGCCTGACGGCTGAGTAGACAGCGCTCGGGGTTTGTAGTCTTAAAGGTTCGGATTCGAACCCCGGCGGAGGCGGAAACAAATGAGCAGAATTTCTGTCACCCTGATGCGTCTGTTCACCTAGTAGTAAATAGTTACCTGGGAGTTAGACAGCTACGACGGGCTGCTTCCTGAGTATGTGAGTGTGTGAAAATTAGGATTAAGGACTTGCTCGAAATGCTATACGTGCTCGTGGCTGTACAAGTATTTACGAACTCTTGTATATATAACTAAAACAAGTAAAAAAACACTATGTATGGACATAGACGTACTTGAAAAAGACAATCTATTTAGCAAAGAGAACAAATGACAATGATGATTAATTGGAAATGCAGCAGAGTCGAGTTAACACAGGGAAATTGTCTTCCGCCTTCAGGGTAATAAGTAAAGATGAATTGAATTTAATAGAAACTGACTACATTCACAGTTTTTAAAAATAGGTTTGATGGAAAAAAAAAGATGGTTGTGAGTAGCTGTATAATAGATAATATTGAGGAAACACCCTTGTAATCTATCAACTTAGATATGTTTAGTAATTTTTTTAAGCGGGTGTAGTCGTCTCGATACAAATAGCCAAGCTAACACGTCAAAGCCCTAATGACCAACGAATTTTAACCACATAATTGCTTCCTGTTCTGAACAGACACAACGATATGTTAAGAACAATAAATAAATTAGAAGACAATCTTAACTAATCTTAACTTACGTTCAGAGAGAGATTGCCTGATATCTGCGTTCCAATGTCTTGCGATGAGTATTTCAGGAAATACAGTGTGTCAATCACTGCAACACTGTTGCTGTAGGTGGTCACCAGGAGGAAAACACAAGCGACCAGACACAGCAACGCCCCGTGAGATCGTACTTGACACATTCTCTGTACCTTGACCAAGATTGCTTTCATCGCCTCTCCTGTGTATAGAATGTGGGTCCCCTATAATACAATTTGATTATACTGATAGAATTTTTTTGCCAATCATTTGTAGGGAAAACCATTGATTCATTACAAGTGTTTGCATAATTGTACAAGGTTTATTAGACCAAATCTGAAATTCAATGGAGAAATGCCATTTCACTTGCCAGTTACTTGTGTAATGATTTGCATATAATAACATTAATGATGTTATGTATTATATATTTCGTGTAAATTACTTTGTGCCGATACAAACACGAATGAAATTAATGATTTTCCCATTCAAATCACATTAAATGGTTGTTGCAATTTTTTACATTGAAGGTTATGTTATCTATAACCCTTTTTACTGTAAAATACATATTTGCATATTTGTTATCAATTTCTTGTGAAAATTAATAATTTACAGTAATTTTTGTTAAATGTAATCTATTATGTATGTACAATCAATTATTAATATGGTTTCTAAACTTACGTTTGAATGATCTGATGTATACTTTTACGTATGAAGTTGAAAAATTATTGTTATTAAAACAAAGTTTTATTTTCAATATATACCTTATTAGTAAGCTTCTCTGTCTTATGATACATATAATTCATTGGATAAGCAAGTTATGGAAAACGTAAGTTATTACAGGTGTGTGTAAGTCTCGTTCTAATTATAACCAAATATTTTGTTTTAAACTTACACCTGTGCAGTAGAGCAACAGCTGTAGTTATGAATATATATCACATATGAATATATGAATTAAAGTCACTGCTACACAGTAATTTACCAATAAATATCGTCACACAAAGTGAAAGTTATATGTTATGAAGGAAATATATTTAAATTGTAGTCTGTTTACACTGCTGTTCAATTCTTTTCGTTGAGTCAAAATTGTGACGATTTGTATATGTTGGTATTATTGATTCTGATTATCATACTCATGCTGTTGACATTTGAGATAAACGTTTAGAAAGATCTGTGATGAAAGTTGACCAGACCACACACACTAGAAGGTGAAGGGACGACGACGTTTCGGTCCGTCCTGGACCATTCTCAAGTCGATTGTGAGAATGTGTTGATGAGAAGTGACATCTTTGTTACTTATGTGGTTCTGAGAGCCATCATACCTAACTTGAAGTACTGATATCAGGCACAATCGACTTGAGAATGGTCCAGGACGGACCGAAACGTCGTCGTCCCTTCACCTTCTAGTGTGTGGTCTGATCAACTTACTTTAGCCACGTTATTGTGACTCATCCCTTGCATCTGTGATGGAAGTTATAAGAGAAAGCGCGAGGAAAAATGCCTGATATCAGTACTTCAAGTTAGGTACGATGGCTCTCAAATCCACATGAGAAGTAACAAAGTAACACTTCTCACCAAACACACGACGATATTACGACGTCGCTACAACGTTCAAACAAGTTTTAACACCTTCTAACAAGTTGTAACAAACAATATAGCAAGGTTGAAGCAACGTTCTAATACGTCATAAAAACGGTATAACAAGATGTAACAACTTCATTACATGTTGTAACAAGCGGAAAATAGAGAGAGTTACGTTGTGTGTTTGCAGGGATTTAGACCAAGCGATGTCAAGTTCCTGGGGCCAGATTCACGAAGCATTTACGCAAGTACTTACGAACGTGTACATCCTTCCTCAATCTTTGGCGTCTTTGGTTACATTTATTAAACAGTTTACAAGCATGAAAACTTGCCAATCAACTGTTGGTATTGTCATAACCAGCCTTCTGGTGCTTAGAAGCTCATTAATTGTTTAATAATTGTAAAAATAAGCCGCAAAGAATTGAGAAAAGATGTACAGGATCGTAAGTGCTTGAGTAACTGTTTCGTGAATCTGGCCCCTGGAGTTTTGGAATTAATATGATCTCGAGTCCTTGAGAACGCCCTTATAATCCATCCAAAATATCCCAGTACAGAAAAATGATCACATGGATATATAGGATTAACCATCCAGCGAGATGGATAATCTCTTGACACAAAAATATTCAAACACTTCATGTATTCAAATAAAGCTGAATCAATGTAAATATCCCTAAATATGGGATATTTGAGTCGACTTGAGAATGGTCCAGGACGGACCAAAACGTCGTCGTCCCTTCACCTTCTAGTGTGTGGTCTGGTCAACATTTTTTAGCCACGTTATTGTGACTCATCGCCTACCATAAACATGGGTTAACAAATTAAAGTTTCTTAGCTTAGGAACCCAAATATTTGGCACGCCAGTGACTAGCATAACTAAGGAAACACACTGACAATCTTATACAGTACAAAGAAATTCTATTCCACTTGTAAGAGGCGCTGCCTAAGGTCAGCCCAGGACAACTTCTCCAGTAGTTTTCATCGAAGATTTTGGTTGGAGATGAAGCTGTACAACATGCAAAAGGCACTCAACGAGTCTGGAGGAGACAAGATGGTCAGTAAATGTAAATGAGACAGATGTGTGCTATATTACCCGAGCCACATAATCATTACATCATAGATGAAGGTGTGGAGCTAAGGAGTGACTTGGTGAAAAATAATATAAATAATTATTAGTAATTATGTTAAAAGTAATTATATAAAATAATTATCTGTAAATGCTGAAAACATACAGCAAGCAACCTTTTGTATTTAAGAACGGACGTTTCCTCGAGGTCTAGTAATTAGTTTTGTTATCAGAAATGTAATCACTGAACAAAACTAGAAATGACCATGATATGATATTTTCAACAAGGTTCGTTCCTCAGATAAATGCACTAAGCTTTGAAGAAAGATTAAATTATGCAAATCTCAGAATATTAGAGAGAGAGAGAGAGAGAGAGAGAGAGAGAGAGAGAGAGAGAGAGAGAGAGAGAGAGAGAGAGAGAGAGAGAGAGAGAGAGAGAGAGAGAGAGAGAGAGAGAGAGAGAGAGAAGACATATCAGACAACAGCAGAACGAGTGAACATGTTAGACAACAGCAGAACGAAGGGACATAGATGTTAACCTGAGACGCAAATAAGTCACAGGGACGTTAGAAAGAACTTTTTCAATATCAGAGCTGTATTAAGTGGAACAGGTTAGACGTAGAATCTCTTGAAGCTAATTCCACTCAAAGCTTTAAATGTAAATATGATACACCTGGGAGAAATGTTTCATTGTATTAATATAAAAACGTTCAGAGGTGGGGCTAGGAGTCTACCTCGACCCTACAAGCACAACTTGATGTATTCACTTAGTTATGCTTGCGGGGGTTGAGCTCTGCTCTTTCGGCCCGCCTCTCAACTGTCAATCAACTGTTGCTAATTACTAATTTTGTTTTCACACACACACACACACTTTCGAGTTCACACGGAAGAGTTCGAAATTACGAGAGAGGAGGTCAAGAGACACCTGCTGGATCTGGATGTTAGAAAGGCTGTTGGTCCAGATGGGATCTCACCATGGATACTGAAAGAGTGTGCAGAGGCACTTTGCTTGCCACTCTCCATAGTGTATAGTAAGTCACTGGAGACGGGAGACAGGCCAGTGTCCTTGACTTGTATACCATGCAAGGTGATGGAGAAGATCGTGAGAAAAAACCTGGTAACACATCTGGAGAGAAGGGACTTCGTGACAAATCGCCAACATGGGTTCAGGGAGGGTAAATCTTGCCTTACAGGCTTGATAGAATTCTACGATCAGGTGACAAAGATTAAGCAAGAAAGAGAGGGCTGGGCGGACTGCATTTTCTTGGATTGTCGGAAAGCCTTTGACACAGTACCGCATATGAGGCTGGTACATAAGCTGGAGAGACATGCAGGTGTAGCTGGTAAGGTGCTCCAGTGGATAAGGGAGTATCTAAGCAATAGGAAGCAGAGAGTTACGGTGAGGGGTGAGACCTCCGATTGGCGTGAAGTCACCAGTGGAGTCCCACAGGGCTCTGTACTCGGTCCTATCTTGTTTCTGATATATGTAAATGATCTCCCAGAGGGCATCGATTCATTTCTCTCAATGTTTGCAGACGATGCTAAAATTATGAGAAGGATTAAAACAGAAGAGGACTGTTTGAGGCTTCAAGAAGACCTAGACAAGCTGAAGGAATGGTCGAACAAATGGTTATTAGAGTTTAACCCAACCAAATGTAATGTAATGAAGATAGGTGTAGGGAGCAGGAGGCCAGATACAAGGTATCATCTGGGAGAGGAAATTCTTCAGGAGTCAGAGAAGGAAAAAGACTTGGGGGTTGACATCACGCCAGACCTGTCTTCTGCAGCCCATATCAAGCGGATAACATCAGCGGCATATGCCAGGCTGGCCAACATACGAACGGCATTCAGGAACTTGTGTAAAGAATCATTCAGAACTTTGTATACCACATATGTCAGGCCAATCCTGGAGTATGCAGCCCCAGCATGGAGTCCATATCTAGTCAAGGATAAGACTAAACTGGAAAAGGTTCAAAGGTTTGCCACCAGACTAGTACCTGAGCTGAGAGGTATGAGCTACGAGGAGAGACTACGGGAATTAAACCTTACTTCGCTGGAAGACAGAAGAGTTAGGGGGGACATGATCACCACATTCAAGATTCTGAAGGGAATTGAAAGGGTAGATAAAGACAGTCTATTTAACACAAGGGGAACACGCACAAGGGGACACAGGTGGAAACTGGGTGCCCAAATGAGCCACAGAGATATTAGAAAGAACTTTTTTAGTGTCAGAGTGGTTGACAAATGGAATGCATTAGGAAGTGATGTGGTGGAGGCTGACTCCATACACAGTTTCAAGTGGAGATATGATAGAGCCCGATAGGCTCAGGAATCTGTACACCTGTTGATTGACGGTTGAGAGGCGGGACCAAAGAGCCAGAGCTCAACCCCCGCAAACACAACTAGGTGAGTACAACTAGGTGAGTACACACACACACACACACACACACACACACACACACACACACACACACACACACACACACACACACACACACACACACACACACACACACACACACACACACGAAGCAGCCCGTAACAGCTGTCTAACTCCCTGATACTTATTTACTGCTAGATAACAGGAGCATCAGGGTGAAATAAATTATGCCCAACTTTTTCCACCGGCGGCGGGAATCCAACCCAGGACCACAGGACTACGTATTCAGCGTGCTGTACACTCAGCCACCAGCGCCCTAACTACATGTGTTCACCTAGCTGAGTACACACACACACACACATCTAATATATAAACATAGTATAGTTTACATCTGTATAGGCTACATCTGAGACCACGCATAATACATGAATATACAATACACGAATGCACAATACATCAGACAAGCAACCTTACAGAATCATAAGTGAAATAACATATAATAATAAATAATAACAATAATATTTCACAAATAACACAATATATTTGTGTTATTTGTGAAATAACACAAATATACAATTGAAATAACAATTGACTAGATATGCGGCTCCAGCATGGAGTCCATATCTAGTCAAGCATAAGACTAAA